CAGGAATAAAATAAATTAGTATAAGGATTAGGGTCTTACATCACTCTGCTGTTTGGCCACCTTCATGGAATGTAGTATCTTGGGATCATCATGAACACTTAGGGCTCCAACCATTTTCCCTTTACTCTGTTCATACACTTTCTTATATTCCACCTGCACAGCAAGAACAAAAGAGTGAAGCCAAGCTCCATTTAAAAAGCAACCTGAAAAGCTATTGTAATCAAAAGCCATACTTACATCACTTGCAATTTTATTGTGAGCTTTAGCTGCAAGAAGTGGAATTGCATCAACTTTGATTTCAAATTCCTTGTCTTTAGACTTTTCCCATTCATACTTGTAACAATTCTGGAGAAAATAAACAAAAATGTATAAGTCATAAGAATCTAACTAATTCAGATGCAACTAGATATTAAATAGAAAGCCAGTAATCAGCATAAAAACTACTGCCAGCATTTTATATTACAAATTATGATTATTTTGAGTATGACACAAAAAATAATGCACAAAGACTACTACAACTTTCCTAGCAATGTGAAGGGCATTTGCAGTAGATATTTTAAGTATAAACATTTTAACCCTATTTCACAGCCCCTTAATACTTCCATACAAATAATTTTAGCAAGACCATTCTCTCTGCGTCTTTACACAAAACACCAATGCTTATTACATTAATAAATATAATATTAAGACTATATTAACAATTATTGCATTATATGCCCGTTATGTGTATCTGTTGATTTTATGAGTGTGTGTGAACTATTTTGTCTGCTTGGAATTTTTGCAGCAATCCTAACGTTTATTCTTACTGTCAACATAACTGTTTACTTGTACTCCACATTTTCACACAAAGTGTTTTGCTTTGAACAAATCTTGCTATCTACAGTAGAATATAAAATTAATACTCACATCACTAATGTTATATGCATTGACACGGGACTGGAGGAAAAACGGAGCATCTGGCGGTATGGAACATTTGAACTTCTCACTTTCATGTTTAGCTTTGTATTTCAACTGGAAAACACGGTAAGATAATCCTTTAGGAGAGTCAGTCTTAGTTGAACGGTCAGAACAGAAGTGAACAATGGGATAAAATCTAGTTTTTGTTAAAAATATCACTATACTTCATAATATTACGATTACCTTATCTGAATAAAGATATAATCCAATTTTATTGGTGAAATCCCTGGATGATGAAACCTAGGCCTACTAGTATCAGCTTCATTTGGAGCAGTATCAATTAGCATCACTTAAGGAGCTGATTTTCTCCTAGACAGGCAAATTATTTTTGGATTCACTCTTTCACCATTAAATTAATGGATCCTAGTTACAACTTCTGCAGGTTCCTCACAGCTCAGTTTCTCCAGCCCGCCAAGGTCCCTGGGAACAGCAGCCTGCTCTACAGTGTATGAACTGCCCCTGTCCCCCGCCACCACTTTCAGTAACATCTGCAAACTTGCTGTGAGTGCACCCTGTCCTGTCACCCAGGTCATTAATTAAGACATTAAGCAGGGATACCACTGGTAACCACTCTGCCGTTGGACTTTGTACATCTGAACATCACACTCTGAAGATTCATCAGTTTTATACCATATACGCAGATTAAAAAAAAAAAAAAACTTGATTAAATATATACAGACTGAATCCAGAATTCCAGATCAAATAATTTTTAGGGAGGCCTGAAATTTGCAACAAGATCAGAATGTGTGACTCCAATTTACCTCCACTTTCAACTACTATAAACTCCGAATCCTGCACTAGATCTTTCTTAGTACAGAGGTCACAGAGGAAGTCACAGAAGAGACACTGTAATTCTTTCTATCGTATATACCAAAATTTAAGATATCTAACTATCTTGGTCGTTTAGTAAGTTTACTTACATCACTCAGCTGTTTGCTATTGATCTCTGCTTGCTTCTGCACTGGCGAGTCTGTCACTTGAGTAAATTTTATTTGATCAGGATGTTTTTTGTAGGTGTGCTAAAGGAAAATAATGAATATGTTTACAGCACACATGCATAAGCAAAACTTTTTACTAACTAAGACACAGTATTGTAGCATTACTTGTGATAGCTAGCAGTTACAGCATAGGTGAAGATAAGCACTGTTCTACACGTTACTTAACAAAATCAGAGAGCAAATAAATTTTTAAAGCATTTACTGTAAAAAATATATAGCCTTAAGCAGGCAGAGGTTTGAAGTTCATTCTACATTTCAGTACCGTTCCTCTGACTTTACGTTTTTACTTGTTAAAAACAGATTGTGCTGTATCTGTCTTGATCACTAGATGTCACAAAAGGCTTCTAAAATATATATGATTTTCGCTTCTAAAAGTCACATATGCTAAAAAGGGGAAATTCAAAATCACAGAAGTTAACAGGAATCACTCAAGATTTCCACAGGCCTTAAAGCGGTCATTCTGTACAAAATCGACTACTTGGTAGCAACTACTTACATCTTTACACTGGTCTAGCTTCTTAATAGCTTCGTATTCTTGAGTTATGGTCTGAGGGAAGTAGCATTTTGTCTTCTCTTCCTCATAATCTGCTTTGTAATTTTTCTAGGGATAAAAACAACATTCAGTTAAAAAAGCAAAACTGATCTTTCTTTGAAATGAAAGTATGACTGTGAGAACAGAACTAGTGCCGTACTTACATCACTCTTCATAGCTTCAACTTTCATACAGTGTGTATGATGTGGGTCCTCATAGCTCCCTAAATAGTGTCCTAAAATGTTCTTCTGATATGCATCTTTGTATTTTACCTGGGGGAAAAAAATCACAAATTGATAACCAAAAGTAATCAAGAGTGTCAATATGAACAAATGCAAAAATACATACATCACTAAAATTCTTTAGAACACTGTCAGTCTGAAACTTTGGAGTGTCACAATAATTGATGCTTGTTCCTTTTGATCGTTCATAGGCTTCCTTGTATAATTTCTGCAAAACAAAATAATGACAGATAATATAGAAGCTTTTATTGATACTCATTCACAATGCATTAAAAATGACAACAGTAACACTGTGAAATGACATGAAGAACTATGACCAGGCCATCTATAATAACAATGCCAGGATATCCAAATAACAAAACTGAGTTCCAAAGCAGGGATGTACACCCCGACATTTCCATATGTTCAGATCAAGGTCATAAATCTCACTGCATTATAAAATTAAGGAAAATAATCAAAACTAATTTCAAAGTCAATTTCTTTCCAAAAAATCACAGTATTCTGTGCAGCTCAATATATTTCAATCTTCTGTGAAAATTTTGGTAATACACAATAAAATAGTACAGGAAAACCTATTCAGTTAAATGATTTCCCAAATTATTTTTCATACTTGTTATACGAATAAAAAATTTGTTAACTCGAATGTTAAACATCAAAGTGCTTGAGGTGGAACTTGCATTTTTGAGGAGAGTAAGTTTTATTAGAGATTTGAAAGCCAGATCACATGTACAAAGGCTCTACCTAGTATTCTTAAGATCAGAAGAGGGCAGACTGCTCAGCCAGTTATTCCATTGTCATTGTGAGCAGCATGCATAGATTCCAAAGGAAAGCTTTCCCATGACATTGAAAAAGAAATGGCATTTTTTTTCCCCAATGATTTTTTTTTTTTTAACTTTTTTTAGTGACTCTTAGGATTGTAAGGGAAGACAGGAAGGTCTGGCTCAATTTTTGAACTTCTGACACTAAGAAATATGAAATCTCTTTCCATACAGATGAAAATAGCAAGAAGAGATAAATCAAGAAAGCCATTACACCCTTGAAGTGAGCAAAAGAATGCAATATGTAGGAATATGTGAAATTATTACATCTTTTAACACTGTTGGGATCATCTGAAGTTCCTTGAAGCAGAAAGAGAACTGTCATCTCCTGATCTGTTTTTCACAGGGATCCAAATGCCCTGTATAATAATTAGCTAATCTCCTTATACACCACAACTATTTTCACACTCTGCTGTGGAGAACTGACTCCTTAACTAGTAAGGAATTACTGTTCTGGCTGGTTGTATCTCATGACAAATAGTAAGTCTATAATACAAAAAATGCTGAGAGATCCAATGGAGAAGCCTTGTAAAGAAATGATGAGTTTAGGGTTATTGTACATGACTGAAGATAATCCAACTGAATTTTGATAATACTTACATCACTCAGTATATTTCCTGCAGCTTTTAATTGCTTCAATAAAGGGTTCTCTGTAGCAGGAAGTACATTATAATCTGCAATAGCTTTTTTCTTTTCATAGTCTGCTCTGTATTTTATCTTTAAAAAAATAAAAATAAAAAGGGTGAGGTTTTTAAAATCACTTATCACTTCTGAATGTTTATGATGTCAGTTAGAGAAAGTTAGAGGATCATGCTCATTAGCACCAGGAAAGGACAACATTCAGTTAAGTTGCTGCTTTCCAATAAATGTTCCTAGGAAGCAGGCCAAAGAAGCTTTCCTCCATTTAACAGACAATACTGAAAGCCAGACACCCACTGACCTCTATTTTCTTGAAAATTTCAGGAAAATACTCTTCCTGTGTTTTTTAACTGGTGATTCATCATGACAGAGGACCATAAAAGGCACTCAGACCAATAGAGCGCAGGAATGACAAGGTAGGAGGCACAATAGAATTGTTTAATAGCTATGAAGTAGGTTTCCCCCTCCCAAGCTCCTCTTCAAATACACTCTGACTTTTCAAGTATTGGTCAACATCTCAAAATAGTCATATTCTTCAAATTAACGATCTAAGATCATCCTTGTCTTCACTGATACATATACTATCACAGAAAACGCAGAAGTCGAACAAGATCTGGACTTTCAACAAAAGATATACCAGCATGACGTCACTGAGATATACTGAGTAAAGATGAACAAATGTGAAAATACTGAGCCAGAGTCAGCTACTTTAATATGGTCTTAGTTAATAGTATAGACTTAGTCTAGCTAAAAATCAGGCATATAATACGATCAAAGTGAACAATGAAGAAAATTCTGCCTCACAGAAGTAAATTCTACTTCCTGGGTACTGTTGCTGAAGGTCATAAGGATGGCTAGGAGTTATTGGAGGCTTTGCAACGGAGTGCATAGAAGAATACATCTTTTGCAGGTAGGAAAATAATTTTTACCTTCGACAGAACAGCCTCAGCACAAACTAGCCTGACTTCAGAACTATAACTCAAACTAAATTAATGGGAGCAGGCTTAACATACCTTACTGACATTATCTCCAAGTCGCTTATTAGCTTCATATTCTGGAGTTTCAGTTTGCATAAAGTAGATTTGGTCTTTCATGTTTTCAAAGTCTTCCTGATATTTTCTCTGTTAGGAAAAGAGCAAAATAGATAATAATGTATCAAATGCACTTACACTATAAATCAGCTATCCATGAAGTAACTTAAAGAGTAAAAGACAAATACCACAAATGGAGCAGGCAAAATGAATCAGTCTTTTCCAAGTTAATACAAAGAGAAGATAAAGTTGCATGTTTCAAGATTTTCTGAAGAATTCACTTACCATACTTATATTTTCTGAATTCATTTTTGCAATTGCAACATCATAGCACGGAGTTTGACTCCACTTGCCTTTGATCTTGTTTTCATAATCTTCATGGTAGTTAACCTAATAATGAAATGAAATAATAAAAATTTATCCTCAAAATATCAACTAAAACAAAATATCATCATCTTCAGATACAGCTCAATTTTCATGTGACAGATCTGTTTTAAAAGGCCTTCCTTTTAACACTGTGCCACATTTTATGTCTGCCTCATAGCCATTTTACCAGCTTTTATCAAAAACACCTTAAATATGATTTTTCCCTAATTACTCCAGTATTCCGTTATCCCTCTCGGTACCTTCTCTGGCCAATCGGACGAACAACTGAAATAACTCATCTATTCTAAAAGATAGTAGTGACTAATAAGAAATTTTCTCCATGGGATATCATTAACACGTTCCTTTGGCTGAGTTATGTTTTCTCACTGATCACATATTAGTTCATATTCGTTAAACTGGAATTTACCATTGCTACTGCTGAAACTTGTCACAAAGTGCACGTGGACAGCCCTGATAATACAGGGATTGTCTGGTAGACGTGATATCTATCACTATATTTAAGCTCATAGAAATCAAGTACCAACTGTTTCAACCAGCTTCTTTCTGTTTAATAACAAAATGTCTTCTTGAGTTTTGAAACTCCAAAAGGAAATTTCAACAGAAGGAAGCGCACTGCATTCTACTTACATTACTGAGTTGCTTTGTCACTTTCTTGGCTAGTTCCACGTCAGGTGGATCTGGCAGAGAAGTGAATTTAGATTTTCGTTCATCATGCCCTTTTTTGTAGACAATCTGAAAAATGAAAGAAGTCAGCTTTTACACTATCTGCTAATAAGCGATAGAACATTTACTCCAAAACCTACTAATGCTACCATTAACAAAAGTAGTTGTGCTCATAGCTGCTGCAGTGTAAACTCTTTCAACCAATGTATTCTGAGAAGCGTCTCAGTAAGAGAGAGTGAAAAAGAATCAGCTCCCTGTGGAAGTTTTTAAGTATATTAACATTATCGCCCCGATAGACATGAACTAGAGAAGCTCTGGGCATCTTGAAAATTCACTGAAATGTTTAAGTGAGACCTGAAATCATCGGTTGAAGAGGGCTTTTTTTTTTTTTTTTTTCATCAGTGAATCACATAGCCTCACAAATTCCTGAGTTTTCTTATCACTACCTTAGAGATACAGGCTTATAGAACTACATCAGAGAACTGGGCTTATAGCCAAACATGGGAGTTTCTTCACATTTTCTGAGAGACGCTCAAGGTCTTCTTATTGGTTATCTCAGAAGATCTTTAATAAATCGTTTCATTCATTCATTCATAACCCAACTTCCAATTGCCAATGTCTGCCAGCTAACAGAGAGTACACACCTTTCTATACAAAGAGTACTACTGTCAGTGCTTTCAGTGCATACTTTATGCACTTCTATTTCCTTTTCCTTTACAAAGATTTTATACCTAGTCTTAGCACACCTAGAAGTCTACCAAGTTACACTGTAACACTCATGTGATCCAATGGACAACCAGGCTTTGATACTTACATCACTCAGAGCCTTTTGGGCCTGTGCCACCCTCCTGAGCTCTGGACTGTCATTGTATGGATAGAATAATGTTTTGTCTCCTTCCCAATCCTCTGTATAGAGTTTCTGAAAAACAGAAAAATGCCAGAATACTCATTATGAAATTATCTTTGCCTTGGAATGCTTCTTGCACTTTAGCTCCTTCAACCTGTGATTTTCATTACCTTACTGAACATTGCTGTATTTTTTATTGCATTCACAAGTTCTGGAGCATCAGGGGGAAGTAGGTACTTGTCTTTATTCTCCTCCCAATTCTGTTTATATAACACCTGGACGAAAAGATTAGCATGTTGGTTATTCTATTATTGGGAAAATACTTACATTTGCTAACAAACAGCCTGCTCTAAAGATTTTTTTTGAAATGCGAGTCTCAAACCAGTGCCACTTAAAGATATCATCAACAGGAAACATAAAAAATTATGGGATTTTTTACTTGCTTTGATCAACTCTGCTGTCTCTCCCTGACCTTCGCAATTGTTCTATAAACATTGCTTAAGCAGCCCAAGCTCAAAATCTTACTCTTACTTGTTAACGTAATGATCCGTTAATATTCAGAACCCTTCCTGAAAGTCACACCTCGCTCACCTTGCTCACTTGCTGTGAGACCTTCTTTGCATGTTCTATATCCTTGGCCTTTTCATCAACATGGCAAATAGTCCTAGCAACTTCACCAGCCATGCGGTATTTAACCTAGATCAATGCATATCAAGAAACAATTATTTTTACGGCAAAAATTGACAGTTTTTTTAAAGCAGAATATTGTTATTTTGATGCTTAACACTGTAAACATTCGAAACCTGAATTCAATAAAACATTTAGGCATAAGATCAACCTTTAGCATGGACTAGCTGTTCCTTAGAAATGAAACCTAGGGAAACAAATGGATTTTGTGAATCGAGACATGCAGCTTCGAGATAGTGTCAAGAGCAACGAATCCTAGTTAGAGGTAGTGCCCGTCTGTAGTCATGGAGTTGTTTCTAAGAGTACGCCTACCCTGCAGAAGCAAAGAGAGAGAGAACGATCCCTGTGCTAAGCAGCATACCTGCATTACACAGTCCATTATTGTGTAAACACTAGTTGTAGTCCCCAAAGCAATATAGCCACATTACTGTGGCAAGCAAGTAGCTTGGTCACAAAACCATCCTAATGCAGTTACACCACTCCCAGCTTGAGAGCAGGCTCAGTCAGCATTAGCTCATGGATTGCTGCATCACACTCCTCAATACCTCCTAAGTCAGAAGAAGGGTAGAACTTAATACACACTCATCTCCTCAACACTGCTTAGGTTAGGTGACCCCCCCCCAGCTTCAGAGGTTCCCATTCTTAGGGACTTAACTCTCTCTATTTACCATACAGAGAAGAAAGATGACTTTCTAGGTGGATTTCAGTTTCCCAAACTGTGAGGCTTACTGTTGAAAGGGAAAGTATAGTTGCTTAAAAGAAAGAGGAGAGAGGAAGAGCTAGCTTCCAGAACTGCAGGCACTGCATCTGTGTGGCAAATGTACCTAAGCTAGCTTGGGAAGGCAGATCACACCGTGGGATTCACATAGAGAGGGGGCAGAGGGGGAAAAATATCTTGGAAAATCCCATAATAAATGACAAGATGCATAGACGCTCATTTTGCAATGCTTGGGAGTGTAAGCATCATTGCTGCAATATCTTTTTAGACAATTTACTTTTAGTTGCCCTATGAAAACAAAAATGTTTAAACACATATTAAAAGCAAAATTCTATGCTTATTAGTCCACAGTGTAACTTAACTTCAGCAAAAATTCATCAGACACATCATATGTGACAACTGCAGGATGCTGTGTGTGCTATATTCAAATTTCAATGATACAGACATCACCATCATCTCTCATGTTTTTCTCTGTAACTGCTGATCACAATTTTTCAAACCTCTTTGGCCGCAGTGAAATTGAACTATTATTCAGGGGGTCAAGAACCTTCCTGAGAGGCCTAAATTCCAACCTAAATCCTAGAACTAAAATTCATCGTAGAGTTGCTCTTATAATCTTGATAAAGTTTCTACTAGACATTCAGATTGCCTGATCATAACATTATTAAAAAAATCAATTCTTATTTAAAATTTTTATTTATGACACAGTTTGCTTCTTTACCACTCAATAATTTTTCTTATGACAGCTGATACCTACCTCACTGAGCTGGTCTTGTACTTTCTTGATTCGGCGAAGTTCTGGGGTATCAACTGTGGAAGCATAGGGCTTTCCTTTTTCTTTTTTAAATTTTTCTTTGTATTTATTCTGAAAGGAAATAAGAACAAATATAACTGGCATATGGCTTTCCTTTTTCTTTCTAAACCATTCTTGTATTGTTCTGAAAGAAAATAAGGACAAATAGAACTGAGACATATCCTAAAGTTCTGGTAGGGATTTATATAGCAATTATTGATTTATTTACCTGATGGATATAGAAATTTTTGGTAGATTATTGAATAGTAAAAATTGGCATTACTCAACCAAAATTTGCAGAGTAAACCAACTGACTTTCTTCCATCTGATATAACTGAGAACATCCATGTCTACCTTTAGCCTGTGATCTAAAGCATGCTTTTAGACAGGCTAACAGGCTTTTTAAAATCCAATTGATTTTGTTCTCCTTGGAGTTTCGAATTGGTGTATTTCCAGTTGTTTCAGAGGTCAAAGATAAGGAGAATATGTAGGCGAGAGTAGCAGTCCTAGTTCACACATAAGCCTTTTAACAGTGAATATTGGTAGATAATAGACATTAAAATTCATGAGAAAGGAGCTGACACCATCTGCCACTATTCAGAGTAATTTTTTTCAGAACACTTTTCAGAACATAGTACAATATTGGTCTACTTTGGACTTTGGTACTCCATATCGGAAATTTAGTTTGGTGCTTGTTCCCATAAACTGCACACAGGAACTTTTCCTGGATAGATAGACAGCTAGAAAAAATACACTATTATAAAAATGTTGAGGTCTGTTGCTCAATAGACTTCAGTCTCTGTATCTTCCTTGACTCGTGTATCTAAGTCGTCAGATACAGCAGTCTTATTAACTGACACCTCTGACAACCTTCTCCCACCTCCCTCAAGGCACTTTTTGTGTCTCAATGATTATGTAACACACTCCAGCAGGAAATGGGCAAAAGAGAGCTTGAAAGTTCCTATTTGAGGTAAATAACACTAAAACACATTATGAAATGAAGTACCAAAGAAAACAGAACAGTAGTAGGTAGGTTTGCACTGCTACCTATTAAATATTTTTGAAATTGGTGTTCCTAAAGAAATAAAAGACACATATGGGACAACTTACCTCACTGAATAGGTCCTTCATTTTATTACTGTGTTGCAGATAAGGTGTCAAAAACTTAGATGGGTCCACTTTTGTCCGTATTATCTTCTTTCTGACTGGAGGCGCTGCATGCTCAACAGAAGGTCTTTCATGCTCAACTGTATATATGGTGGTTTGGGGACCTGTGAATTCTGTGCTAGTGATCTCAGTGATCACCTAGGAATAAGGAAAAATAATTATTTGCTTTATCATTATAAATCATCATTTTACTGTAAGCATTTCTGAACTCCTCTGTCTAGCAAAAGGATGCTCACCTCTGATCCAGTAACCACCTACAATGATGAAAAATGGTGACACTTTTCCTGCTGGGATTGCCCAGGGTGCCCACTATACATCACCCAAACTAAAAGCACAAGAAATTAACTGATCGGCTGATTTCTGTAGCAAGCTCATGCAATTATTCTCCAGAGGCCCTGGGAGACAGTAGCTCCTGCTGCCTCCATTCTGTATGCATAACTTCCACCAGCATCGGGGGATTCTGAGTGGGGGCTACTGGCAGCTAACGTGTAGAAATGTTCTCAGTGCTGAAGCTGTGTTGAAGACACACGTGTGACACAGACAGGGCTCCTAACGATGTCACTGAAAGCTGTGCAAATAGACTAAAGGTGCATACAGTCCTTCAAAAAGAAATCTTGCAAAAGGAGAGAACAGGATCCAGGAAGACAGATAAGACTAAGTCTTTGGGCTCTTTTAATAAGCACATCATTGATTAGCAGACTGAACAAATGCCTAGAATTCACCTTTCCTATTAATCTACATTTTCTCATATGGATAGTCAGATCATAATCATGGTAGAGACATATTGGAGATACATATATAATCAAAGGATGAAGTGCATCCATCGGAAAGAAGCCCTTAAATTAAATCTTTTAGATGTCTATTTATCAATATATTTATGTCATAAGCAATAATTTTAAAACTACTAAGAGTATAATTAGGAGAATTTTAAAATAATTATTAAAACTGAAGAACACCAGAATTACCTGAATAAGGAAGTATCAAGGTTTATTTCCTATCAGTGAGCTTAAAAAAAACAAAGGCCTTTAAAAGGGAATGCATGAAGCTCAGATTTTTAGATAGCTATTTGCATTAGTATGATAGAGACCAGAATATACATCAAACATTAACTTGAGAAGGAGCATACAACACTTAAATTCCAAAAGGTTTGTTTACTATGGGGCTATTACTTGCCTTTCAGTAATGCTGTCCCAGTATGTTATTAGTCACTTCAGCACTACTGCAAGTTAGTATCTTCACTTCACTTCAGATATACAAGGTTTCATTTAAGGTTTGTCACTGAATAGCACTGGGGAGTTTGAAACTTGGCTAGATGAACACTGTGAAAAGTACTACCGTCATTTGCTTTATGTTCACAGAACAGTGAATTTACATGCTCCAATGAAAAGTTGTAATAAATTCCTATAAAACTTGGCTTCTTCAAAGAAAATGAACAAAAAAGAGAGGCTTGGTTCTGAAAATATGGCATTTCATGCAAAAAATATCCTTTTCTTTTCATATGATAACTCATATGATAACAGGCTCACATGATGCTAATACATCGGCCTGTATTTACAGCTGATGGGAGAAAGTCTAATCACATTAGCTAGACAGACATTCTTCATTCTACAGTATTACCTTCCAAAACTGATGGAAATCAGACACAGAAATAATCCATCATGCTATTGCTCCTTTTAAATCCAGTTGGGCTATAGAATTTAAAACAAAATGCTTGAGGAACTCAGCAGCTGACTTCATCTTTAAAAAAAAAAAATCATAGGACAATCTTTCTTTGGAAGTGTAGTCCTAGATTACTTGCTCAAAGGGTATTAATCAAGTTATATTTTAGTACATAAAAAATTTAGGAATTTGGTCTAATCCAGGAAACAGACAGGAGAGATATCTAGAACAAGCTACAAGTCCTCTAGATCAACCCACAACAGGGCCTGGCGTAGGAAATAGAGTCTTTAAGAAGGAACTGTCCACTGATATTTGTGATATTTGTGTGTTTAACATGAAAAATCAGTCCTCGGAATGAAAAAATTTGATCATTTAGCATTACGCATTAACTGCACACACATATACACCACCAGCAACTTCACAGGGGCCTTTACCTCATGTGGTTCACCCTCCTCAATAACTGTCTCCTCAATGTAGTACTATAATAAAAAAAAAAAAAAAAGGAAAAACAAATCAGTTAGGCCATGTCATACAAGGATAGCAAAATGTAATTCCTCCTCTTAGAAAACCGTAAGACTTTTAAAAACACATTTCTGAAGAAATAGGACTGTAGTTTATAGGCAAATATGTAGTCTCATTTGCATCTTTGATAATCAGTTTTTTTTTTGACTAATAATTTTTTCCATACGTTCTTTAACTTAACTTCCTCCCAAGTAATTAATAAAGGATCATTATCTAATTTTTCCCACAAGAGGGAAGGCTAAACGATGACTACATTAAAAGAAAGAATCAGCATTCAAAAGAACAGGATTTCCAAGTTTCTGGTAATATGCCAAGAGCACTGCAGCAGGTTTCTCCCTCTAAGGCTGCCCTGCTTTAGAGTTATTCTCACCTAACAATCTAAACACCTAAATTAGGCCAGTCATACCCAGGAGGCGATGGTGATTGGTTTTCAATTATATTTTTATTAAGTAAATAGAAACGATGATTTGGTGTTTGTTTGTTTCCTTTTGGTGGAAAGACTTCAGTCTTTCTGATTTTTTGAGGATATGTTATTTGACATTACTGCATATCTTAGTATACTCAAGGAGAAAATAGTAATTGTGAGGTTCAAAGTTTAACAGATTTTTTTCTGCATGCAAGTTCTGCCTCATATCTGAAAATCCAGGTTTATGCTTAGTTAGAAATGGCAAAAATGCAACACTAAAATTGTTTTCATGAGATCTAATGCGAATTTCTGCTGACACATGATCAAATTTATCTAGTCTATCCATCCTGAGATGAGATTGTCCAACTTGTTCTTAAAAGCTTCCAACCATTTGCACTTTGTTACTCTGCAGGAACCAGCTGGACCGCTGAACCATCTATAGATAGGAATTTTTTCGTAATGCCAAAGTGACATTTTTCTCACCAAAAATTAAGCCAGTTGTTTATTAAGTTACCTTCCCCTGCCCTCCCCCAACAAAACTTTCAGAAATAATAGATCACAACAATGGATCTCCATGATGAGATTTGTTTATTTCAATAAACAAACATTACGACCTGACTCAAAAATTTCTTTTTTTCTTTCTTCAAATTAAATAAACCTAGATCTTTCAATCTTTCCTCTTAGGTTTCATTTTCTAATTCTAGCATTTCTGATGCTTTCTTCTGAACTCTTCAAGTCATTAATCTTCAGTGCCCAAAACTGGACTTAGTTCACCTGATGAGGCCTCACCAGTGCCAAGCTGAGTATATTCTTCCTGTGCCTTACCTATAGCACTCCTATATCTCAAAGCATTTACTCATGTTTCATTTTAGTCCATTATATAGTTCCCACATTTGACCACCCCCATGGTAAAAAAAAAAAAAAAAAAAAAGTGTTTTCCTAACATCTAATTGGCATAGCTAATCAGAACCGTAATATCTCATTGCCTCCATCTTCTCTGTATCCTCTGATCAAGTAGTTGCAGACACCAATAAAGTCTCCCCTTAGCCTTTCTTTCTCAAGGGTGAGCAAAGCTAGCTTTCTCATCTTCTCCTCGTATGTCCTGTCCCTTTCCATAAATTGCCTTTTTTGGGTTTGAGCGCAGTCAGGAGCTCCATCCGTACTGGCCTTCCGCTGTGCTTGCTTGGGCTTGCTTGCATGCTTGTGCATTGCCCACACATCAGAATGGACTGCTCTTGGGCTCCGAGAACATTGTCCTTGAAGACCACCCAGCTCTCTGGGGCCCCTCTGCCCTCCAGGGCTGTTTCCCAGGGGATCTTGCCAAGCAGGTCATTGAACAGGCCAAAATCTGCTCTTCTGAAGCCCAAGGTTGTGATTCGGATGTTTATCTTGCTCACTCTTCTCAGGATCTTCAGCTCCACAGTCTTATGGTCACTGCCCTTGACCTTTACACCTTCCACCAGCTCTTCCTTATTTGTGAGCAGCAGGCCCCACAAAGCATCTCCCCTAGGTAGTTCATCAAACACTGCATGAAATTATCTTCAACAAATTCCAGAAATCTCCAGCATTGTTTGTGCCCTGCCACATTGCTCCCCCATGAGCACAA